AAGCTATTACAAAAAAAAAATTTAAATGGAAAAAATTTAAATGAAACAATCAATAAATGAACAAACAAAAAGATTACATTTGAAAATGAATTACTAGTATTATGTCCAGGTAAATATAAATACAGAATTTTCCATTCTTGCCATATGACAAATAATTGCATTACTGTTATTTCATTTGATTCAATGTACTCCTGTACTGGTGCATACATTATATGATTTTGTACAATATGATGTGATGTGATGTGATATGATATAACATTGTTACATGATCAAGAATTTTGCATGTGCCATATGGTAACCACTTACTAAAACATGATTCTAGATTGATTCAGAGTGAACTGATACAATCAGATATGGATCAAGGGAGATGAATTAACAGTAAGTTAGGCCAGCCACCATTAATCTATCTAACACTGAGTGACTTATTAATGGCCTTCTGTAATCTGAGCTGACGGCAACAGTCTAAAGACTGATTTATTTTCAGGGAACAATTTTTAGGAGAGATACTGTATCTGTGTTCAGACACATTTGCAGAGAGGTAGTCATCCTTTTACATGGACGATAATATTTTCAGCAATTTGTGGTCTAGCAATATTCTATGGGCACTGTAGTGGACGCTGCTGTTAGCACGTATTACTCATTGTTTGAAAAAATGAAAAGAACAAAAAAAGTTTTGTCTTTGTTGGTTCCATATGTCAACCAAACTAATTAACTGGAAACTGTATCTGGTCACCATAACACCACTGACTGCCATTGAGTTAGTGCACGTTGGCCAGTGCACAACATTTTCTATTATCTCTATGCAATTACTATTGATCACATCATCAGACAATGCTCTGGAAACATACTGCTCTTTAGATTATTGCCAATGGGTGACATTATTCGCCCACTATGAAATCAGTCAGTGATATCAAAACTATGACTAATAGAATTTCTAAAAGCATGATTAGAAAGTAATGGAAACTCTGTTTGCATTTGAGCTATCAAATTGAGTGCAATCAAGCCAGAAATCAACTAATAACCATAAGTGATTGCAACTGTCAACAAAGTGCTAGCTACTATAATATTAACATTTTACAGTATGAAAGATGGCTAGGGCCATCCTGCTGATTAAACATAAAGTCTCAAGTAAATATGGACCAATGATTTCAGATAGCAATGACCAAGTTTCTAGCAACAGAAAAACATTACACACAACCTGAAATGGCAATATAGTTCTGAAATAAATACCTGACCATATGTATAACACTAGGTCTTAATTACATGTGATTTATCATTTTCTTTACCTAGATGACGTGCCATATCTTCTAATTAAGAAACAGCCATACTGAGGGGTATATGATAATGCAAATCACACATAAGTAAATTTGCTCTAGGCTCAACAGGCAAACAGACAAGTTGAGGCAACTGTTTCAATACTACTGAAACTGCCTAGGCTTAGTTGCAATTATGCGCTTTTATATTGTTTAAAGCCTGGCTGTTTTTTTTGTGACATACTAATTGATCATCATAAGCCACAACTAAGCAGTCTTCGATTTTTATGAGGCTTAATTAGCTCATTATTACATACATATACAAAGGTTCAAAGTGTAGAATTCACTGCTTAGGGAAGTAAAACACACACACACACTTTACTTTATATATAAAACAGTTCTTTCTGACAGGTGGATACCACCTGTGACTATGATACCTGCTTTAATTGTTTACCTCACCTGTGTTCCATCAACTGATGTGTAGATGGGGGTAATTAAATCAATAATCCCATTTTTCTTAGAACCTTTACATTAACTTATGCAAAGAAAATCCATACTGGACGAAGGTATGTGGTAAAACTTGTATGTGTATAATTTGTGCATCATACAGTTTATGTGTGGCTGGAAAGTCTTGTGCAAGTTCATCATGTAAAAAGTGAATTATATAGAACTTATTAAGTGTGAATACACTACAGATCTATAGTTGAAAATGTCTGCTTACCAAACAAAATGTCTTTAAAAAAACTATTAATCCATAATGTTGAAATTGCCAATGGTGAGTAACCTGTATGTGATGATGTTAACATATGACATCAAATATCTTCAAACATAACCCTGGGTCAAGAACCTATTTATTTATTTTTTCTATTTTAATTCAAATTACTATTCTTAAATCATATTCCTTTATTACTACTAAAATCATGTTGAAAATATAAATTCAAATAGCAAATCTAAAATTTAGTTTCATGTAATTGAGCCTTCAAATGAAACTGACACAGAAATTTCTGTTTCATTTGATGGCTTAATCACATATTGATTCTTACGTTCATTTCTTTCTGAAAATACACATCCCTCTCTGTGGTGTCAAACCACATTCAAATTGCCTTTTAAAAGGTTAATTGACAGCAATGAAAACAAGGCAAAGCAGTTGGAAAAATACATATCAATTTTAAATTTAAATTCTGTGTATATGCACTAATGTTAACAATGCTTTACATGACTTGTTAACACAGCAGATCTCATAACAGCTGCTGTGCAGATAAAGGTAAAAAGAAAAATCAATAAAATGAACAATGTTTTAGTTTTCCTCCAACATATGGCTTTCTTTGTAACAAAGACAGGTTTGAAATTAATACTTGTGTAATCCAGGTATAACCAATACATGAATACGCTTATACAATTAAATTCTTACCTCAGTCTGTGAATGTGTAGAAGCCAAACTAGATACACTGTGATTTTGCAAACATATAAACACATATTACCTTAAAAAACTATGCATAGTTTTAAAAGGTAATCAAAGCTAGCTGCTTGAAATGATGTTGGCCTCTTCAGTTAATTTAACAATAGCTCTGTTACTAATCATTGAAAAATGCATGCAATTTTACAAGCTAACACAAACATTACCAAGGGTTATTTATCGCCAAAAACATATAAATACTAATAAATACTAGAAGATAAATAAATAAATAATTCTACTTTTCATATGATCCTAGTTCTATATAATGACCACAGAGATAAAAATCAAAGACCTGTTTTATTGAACTTGATTATAATAGCTCTGTTAAAAGCAATTGTGCTGAACCACGAAACAATTCATCATTTATTTATATAAAATCAAAGTGAATTAAAAACTGTTTAAAGAATATCCCCCATTGAAAAAAGATCTTGTCAAACTGATCAAACAACAGACAGCACTGGCCAGCTTTTGTCCCCCCCCTCCCCCCCGCCTTCCCTCCAAAATCTGTTTATCTAAACAAAAATGAAAGGCACACACATATATGAATTTACTTTAAAAATCAGGCTTTAAGGGGAGCAATAGGTAAACGAAGGGTTAGACAGTACTATTGCTGAACACTTTATACCACTTTTACTTCTCCCTGACTACTAGACGCAGACATACAGCTGGAAAAGCAATATAGTAATAAGCTGACGCTGAAGTGAACTAAGTTTAGACTCACCTGCTTGCTATGTTTCTCAATATTCAAAACGTGTACTTTTCCTTTGAGGATCACCCTTTCGCTAACATCGGATGCAGCACCACTGTATTTTTCTGATCGACTTCTGTCTCTGCTGAATCTACTCATCGCCCAGCACTTCCCTCCACCAAGAATTTTATGATGTACTCGACCCCATTCTGCAGGGTCACTTCCTGGAAGGGTAACGTCTTCATGTAGACGTTTATGATAAAATCATGAAATGAAGATTATGTTTACGTGGTCTTTTTGTGGGCGAGCGTTTTTGTATAAGTGTTGTAGTGACTAACCTCAAAATTTTGTCTTTTTTACATTTGGATGCATAAATTACAACGGTGAGATAGTGTTTATTGTACAGGCATGTTCAAGTTTAGCGTCAGCGTACATTGTGATAATCCCAACATGGCGGGTAGCAGAAGCCATTTGATTTCCTTGTTTATCGTGCTAGGAGTCATTCATGGAACCCAGAGCTGTGAGTTATGTCATGAGTGCTGAAAAAAGCATAAAGCGTTATTTTGTGACCATCAAAGTTATGGAAAACCTAAAGCATTTTGAAAAAGACATTCTTTTCAATTATATTTTTACCTATTCATCTGCACTTTGGTACTGACTGATCTCGTGACAAGATGTGCAATCATGCTGGGATCGTATGTTGCCTCAGAATACACCAGAAAGGTCGTATGCACCTTCTCCTCTATGCTTGGGAAGCAAAAGGAACTGCTATACTGTTATAGCTTTAAATGCATTTGAATTTCCTTGAATGAATGATCTTTTTTTTTTCAATTTCAATTTTTATGTAGACAAACAGCTGAAACACACATACCAGGAAGCTAAACAACGATGGAATTATGTCCAAGTGCGACAGAATGCTCACATGTTTTGGTGGCTTTACTACACAACAGCAAGCACCAACTACCAGTCCAAGCCTCTGGTATTGTGGCTACAGGTAATGTTAAATGAAATATATCGATCTTAGCTCATGTCACATATACTTATATAACCTATGTTTCAGATAAAATTGAATTTAGCTAATGCAGAAAATGAAAATTTTCTTTCTTTTCCAACTGGCCACTGATTGGATAAAGCAAAAATTAGTACAAGGAGACTATAGATGATGTACATGTAAATAACTGAGGAAGAATCGATCAGTATTATCCAAACCTCAAACAACTAGATTATTAATATATTAAAATTATTTTTAAAAAAGATGTATGATATATCTCTGATTTACAAGTATGAAGCTGGGGAAACAATCACTGTCATACACTGAGACCTGCAAATTAGTTGCCAAGAATATCCATGCTCTCTTTGAGAGGAATATTATATTCCGAAGTTCCCAACAAAACTTTGGAAAACAATACATTCAGGAAACTAATGAAGCAGGTCCATAGCCAGGAATTTTAAAAGGGGGGCTCTTTTTCTGAAAAAGTGAACTTTTTACCTTGAAACCTTCACATACCTAGATAAAATTTTACCCAGAGGGTACTGTTTCCTGGCCAAAAAGGGGGGTTCTTTTGAACCCCCCAGAACCCCCCTGACTACGGGCCTGTGAAGTAGTCTCCCATAGTGAAGTACATGCATAGTGAAGGGTGGATGCTACATGTATATGACATTGAAGGAGTAAAAACGACAAAAAATGTTTATTATATAGGTTACTCACTTAAAAAATTTCTTTGTTATATAGGGTTTATTTTATAAGCATTTTTAATGATGTGGCTTATATCATAAACATTCTTTGTCAAGTTTAGATTTGATTCATTCTCCTCCACATATCATCTGACACTTTTAATTCTTGCACTTCAGAGTACAGGCACTGCTTCATTATATAATTAGTTCCCTGAATGTATTACAATCCAACATTATTCTGTTGGGATTGTAGTATTCTAATACAAAATGTTCAGTTAACATTTTTATTTACAGAGATAAATTTTAACTTATTTGCTGGCCTCGGTTTATGATAGTAATTTCTTCCATGGCTTCATACACGTACACGTAGAACACGGGTATATTATCCATTATTTTGAAAAATATTTAATATAGTTTTGTAGTAAACAGGATTGTCAATCAATTGAATAATTAATGACGTGATTTGGCATGCTTGGGCATTCAATTGACCTGATTTTTTTTTTCATATTTTCAAGGGTGGACCTGGAGGTTCTTCAACAGGTTTTGGCAATTTTGGAGAAATAGGGCCTTTAGATGTCAATCAAAATCCCAGGCGTACAACTTGGGTAAATTTCAGATGTATTTCAATTTGTAAATTCAGACATGGAATTTCACACATAATGTTAAAATTATGCTAGAATGTTTGTGAGTATTTACATTTAGTCTTCTAATATGTAATGTTCAGTTAATGTTTTGAATTTACAGAATTTGAATTTCAAAAATTTCCTCATTTTATAGGATACGTAAAAATTGTTTTCATTTTTAAAATTTTGATATAGGATCTTCACTTTTTTATTGCAAAAGTTCACTAAAGTACAATTTGAAAAGGTATGATTTAAAATTAAATATACACTCAATCTCTCTCCCTTTCTCTCTCTTTCACTCACAAACACACACACACACACACACACACACACAAAGAAATATCTATAATAAACAGTGAAATGGATGAGACAATAAAGTACAGAACAAATATAAACTTCAGGATATTAACTTTGTTTGTGTATGTTTAATATAAATTATATACTTAATTGTATTTCAAATCTTTGGTTAACCGTATCACTGTCACGTAACTTTAATTTGGCTTGCAGCTGTCCAAGGTGAGCCTGTTATTTATAGACAATCCTGTGGGAGCTGGCTTCAGTTATGTCACTGATGACTCGGCATACACTACCAACAATGACATGATTGCTGCAGATCTACTTACAGTGCTTATGGCCTTTTTGAAGGAATTACCAGACTTCAGGGTAGCTATCATTACCTGGTATCTACATGCACATGTGAAGCCTGGCCTGAAAACCAGTGTTACGCACAAGATTTGTGGTTGTCATAGTTTAGAGACTTTGGCCTGTTGCAACTGTAACAGTATAGACACCATTGCGCTTCACTAGCTGCTCAGTTTGATATGTAAAGAGGTTTATACTATAGCTAGATGTCCAACAAGAGGAATATTTATACTACAGTATGAAATGAATAATAAACCACATACACTACAGAAAAGGGAATGGAAGATAATGTCGAAACCATGCTTATGTTTAATTTTCAGGTGTTTGTTTATTTTTAGACCATACCCTTCTTTATCTTTTGTGAATCCTATGGAGGCAAAATGACAGCTGGCTTTAGTTTGGCTCTGCAGAAGGTAGTTTGGAATGCTTTACATATTATAGAATTTGAGAATAGTAGATTTTAAAGTTGGCACAACATAAACTACTGCGTAAGAGTCCATGTTGACATTTTTAAAGGATACTAAAACTGTTCTGTTACTACAGAAAGGCCATTTTTTGAGAACAGTTTGTTTTATTGGTTTCTTTACTTTTTTATTCTTTGTTCTCATATTATCATTTCAGGCCATTATAGCCAGGCAAATTGATTGCAATTTCAAGGGTTTTGCTCTGGGTGACTCCTGGATCTCACCCTGGGACTCCACATTTACATGGGGACCTTACTTGAAGGCTACGGTAAGGTAGTACAGATGCTTATGTAAAATAGGAAGAGTATTTTTAGAACTATAAACTTTTAGAAGTGGTGTTACCAGTGAAAGGTAAAATATTACCAGGAGACTGCAAATTATTCTTGTCCTTTTTCATTTTTTGAAGATTAATTAAAAATTTGTCTGGTGCAAGAGATTAACACAATCTATGTTATGATCTTAATGCGTTTTTGCACTTTCAGTCTCTTATTGATGAACATGGACTACAGCTTATTAATGGTAGTGTTGTGGTGGCCAGAAAAGCTTACGACAATGGGAAGTATGGGTTAGCGACTGATGAATGGGGGAAGACACAAGAAATATTGGAAAGTCTTACTGGTGGAGTGAACTTCTACAACATCCTACAGTGGAACAGCCAGGAAGATACCAAACACAGTTACAAGAAGTACAAAGAGCAATCTATATTTGGTAAATATAAAATTATGGTCTACCTGAGCCGATAGGATTTTAGAAGAGATCTGATAGAACAGATACTCTATGCTCTAGTGGATGAAAACAATTATACAGGTCTGTAGCCATCCTACGAGTAATAAGATATCTTTATCATGATTGTACACATCTAAAAAATTAATTTTGCAACCTTTGATATTCCATATTTTATCCCCTTCTTAATTTTAACTAGAAAAAATCTACAGATGTTTTACTTCCTTCTTTTAGAAAGGCTTGTCCATAGAAACTTGGCACATTTAAGCAGTGATTCCCTGGATCAGTTGATGAATGGACCAATTAGAAAAAAATTGGGGATCATCCCACGTAATGTTACTTGGGGAGGTTAGTAAAATTGAGCTGAATTATACTGAATCACAATTAGAATTGGGGAAAATGTTCCATTTATTATGAAATATGTAAATTCTGTGTATTTTTTATTGTGATGTTGCAGTTTTGGGTGTACTTTTTTATGTTGATTTAAAAAAAAAAGGTTTTGAAGAAAAAATAAATTTAATAATTCTACTAAACTGTCTCTATAAACATGAATTAAAAAATATGTTGTTCAGGATATTCAAAAGTTTTCTATTTATGTTCCTTCTCAGGTCAGTCTGATAAGGTGTTTGAGCACCTAAAAGAGGACTTCATGAAACCTGTAGTAAATGTTGGTGAGCATCAGGTTTGATTTTGAATATTTGTGTGCTGCTGAAAATTGACTAATTTTTTGTACATTGTTATCAAAACTTCTGGTCTGTAAAAAGGCAGGAAGATGTATTTGAAAGAACGTCCCTTTTGGCTGGAAAGGTCCACTCTGAGTCAAAATCTTATTCTGTGAGATTCCTCAAGTTGGGTCAAGCAAGGACATAAAAGGTCCACTTAAAAAAGGTATCCTCCCCTTAATAATGCTGGCTACAGGCTTTAACCTACAAAGGGAATTTGGATATTTTACCAAGTTTTTTTAAGAGACCAGATTTATAATTCTTATATTGACACAAAATATAGTTTTGTACAAATTTCTAGCATAGAAAGTGAACTTTTATTTTCTTTATATTCCAGTTGATGAGCTTCTTAGAATGTCAAATCTTTCAGTAAACATTTATACTGGGCAGTTGGACCTAATAGTTGACACTTTGGGTAAATATTGCATGCTTGTAAGGGCAGGTGTGCCAGGCAGTTTGATTTAGATAATGAAAGTACAGAAATTAAAAGAAACATGCCTTTGGTGCATTAAGAATACGAGTAACAAAGTCCACTTTCTCTCAGTTATGATGTGGTAATCAAATATGCTACAAATTCAACTTTTAGGTTTTTTCTTTTGCATGGCTGAAGCTAAATGAACATTACACACATTTCCACAGGAAGACAAGGTTTTACCAGCAAAGGATGTAAAGTCGCTGTGATGAAAACAGGGCATCTCCAAAGAAAACCCCCAGTAATTTTAAGGCAACTAATAAAAATGTCTTGCTTCATCTTTTTCAATACTTGATAAGTACCAAGTTCAGGAATAAGCTTTGAAATTAATTTCTTTATTTAGGCACTGAGGCATGGGTTCAAAAACTTACCTGGCCATACTTACATCAGTTCAATACAGCTAAAAGGAAACCTCTGCTGGATCCCTTGAAGAAAAATCCCATTGCATTTGTCAAGCAGTACAAGAATCTGGGTTTCTATTGGATTCTTGATGCTGGACACATGGTAAATTTAAGGTTTCCATTTTCTGGAGAAGGCATCAATATAACATTCATTGAAAGGTCACACTCATCTCAAATTCTTGTCTAATGTGCAAGATATTTACACAGGCTTGTAGTAATGTTAATTGTAAAGCGCATTTTAGGATTTCCCTTATTGTCATTAAGTTGTTTGGCTCACATGGCAAGTGCTGAAGAGACGGATGTAAGGCATCAATTTTTGCTAGCTTAATAATGGAAAAGGTTTCTTTTTCTACAGATTTTATAAGATTAAGTGTCCAAAAACCCAAGATGACCCTTTTCTTTCTTTTAATTCTTCAGGTACCTGCAGATGCAGGGGAGGCGGCACTGATGATGTTGGACATGGTGACATCATAAAACAATATTTTCCACATTCCTTTTTAAGATATCAGTGAGAAATGCCAGATGATAATGGAGGAAGCAAAATATGCTGTTAAGGAGACCTCTCTCCAGTCTGGACATTTTAGTGATTTGCATAAAGCAAAAATGGCAAAGAAATAATGGAGATAATTTCTTAAAGATACATAAACGAGAGAATCTGCACTCCAACATAGAGATATCAGTACCAGATTCTTTGCATAAGTAAAATCCACATGCCAAAAACAAAATCTCTTGGGCAGTAGAAAAAAGGCTTTTAACCTGCATGGTCTTCAAATTGTGGTAAATTTTTCCTCCAGTCCCTAAAGGACAGAAATTAATATCCGTTTTCGAAAAAGAATGTAACTAAAAATTTGTGGAATTTCTTTCACCTATATTATTTGAAACACTCTGGAGGTATTTAATTGAGTTTAGTGGCAATAGTTTGACATAAATACCAGCTTAATGTGCTTCTTTACTCATATCGCTTCCGCCTGCAGTTCAGCTTCACAGCATTCATGTTACTTTGTCGATAATAACATATCACATATTGATCTTGAGGAATATTTTTTACAATGCTAACAATTTGATTTAAACTAGTGAACTACTTGGCTGAGGAAAATTGTATTATGACTTTTCTTCTGAAAATTAGCAGCAGGGATGTCTAATTAAATTTTTTATTTGGACTATTTATTTTGTCAGCAATATTTACACTTTTATTATACTTGAATATGTCAAATTATATAATATAATGCTTGCCCACTTTATGGGTGACCAACATAAGCATAAGTAGGTACAAGTTCTGTAAAAGATCTTGCAAGAAAATTTTTTGATTTAACTTATTACACATCTTTCATATGTCAGAAGATAACACAATAAAATTTTTAAAATATATAATTTGAATAGACTTTATTACTCTTCATTGTTCTTTAAAATAAACCTTTCTATAAATGTGAGTAAATCAAATAAAGATTACATTCCTTGGAATGACATCTCTTCTTTTTGAAAATTAATCAATTCAGATGTTCCTCCAATTAACAGTTCATAGTTTATCATGGCCACAGTCAAACTGATTCAATATTTCTTGTCCGTCTTTAGTAATGACTTGCATGCGTTCGGGTAACTGTCCTTTGACATCTGATAATGCCTAAATATCTGACAACAACCAGATATGACCAATCAGTGCAGGGCAATGCCTTGTCTAAAAAAATGTCTTTATAGTTTATTTTCAGACAACTTTTTTGTAGTCTCCACTACACTGACTACATCCAGATACAAAACCCAAGTGCCATCTCATCATCTATCATTATTAAACATCCTCCATTTTTACAATTGACATATTTCTAAAACAATTAATCTTAAACATAGAAAGAGCTGTCTGACACTTTCCTAAATACTGCAATGTCATTCTACTTTCTAGCTACTGTATGTGAAAAAATATACCGAGTAATTAGAAATAGACATTCTACTCTTGACTAGAATAAAAACCACTCAACGCGTACCTCTTCTATTTTGTTTCTTACTGAGAATTTTTAAAAACTTTTAACAATATTTTTAATGACTCAAAAAAATTACAGCAACCAACTCAACTTTTAGTTATAACTGATATTGGTTATCAAAATCAACTTTATTACGATTACATGCAAATGCTTCCAGTTCTCTCAAAACATTTAACATATCAAGTAAGTATTTTTTAAAAATTGATTTGATTCACAACAGAATTAGCAATCATCATTACACAACAACTGAGAAGTATGATATGGACGGTAAAAGTGTGTGAAGCAGTTTAGCATTCAATGTTCCTTTCAGAATAATTCAAAATACTCCACCTTCATATTAACTTCTTATCTCCACGTACTGACTGAAATGATCCTTTGCTGGTGCAACTGAAATAAAACTGCATGAAAAATACAACTGCCAAGCAGTTGTTCTTGTTTGCAATTTCTTTCCCAAAGAAAGGCATATTTAAAAATGGAATTTTGAGGTGAGAAAATAAATGCCCTAGTGCTTGAACCTGTTGAAGGGGTTTTCAAGAAAACAGGAATGGAAAGAATTCCAGTAATCCCAAATTGGAGCATTTGCCTTGCCCTTCCCAAAAAACTCTTAGAGTGACATCAGTCACGAAATTGGTCCAAGCTTATCAGAGGTCATCAAACAATCCACTTCATATTGAAAAGTTTTTTAAAGAAAAATTGACAAGTTTCTGGAGAAGCCAGAAGACTAAAAATGTACCCTGTACCCCATCACCTCCCTTCCTTGAGTGACCTAACTCAGTAATTTCATTATGGAATTAAACCTATCTGTTAAAAGAAGCTGTTTGCACACACAGTAGGAAAACGTGGAATAAATATGTACTAATTTACAAATTAAAACGATGTCACCAACATATGTTGGGGGCCATTGTTAGCCCAACAGCAAGACTGTCTTGCTGTGACGGACTAAGGCACTTGCCTGTCACAGTGTCCCATGTGTCACAGCAGCAGATGCTCACCTCTCCCTCTCATCTTCAACACTGTACAACAAAGGAGAGAGAAGTGTGTTACTAGCAGTTCTAGAAGCTTGCACTGACTGCAAGCTCATGTCTATTTATGTTTCTTGTGTGAATTAGGATTAGCACAGAAAACTTACTGTCTTAGTGAATTTTGAAATAAGCAAGCAAAAATGTGTGTGAAGCGCCATAATTCTTTCTCTTTTTGTCACCAACATGTGTTGGGGGCTGATGCCCAACAACAGAATTAAATCTGTTGTGACTAAATATCGTAACGGTGCTTGATTCCAGGACATCAAAAGGGATAAAAATCCATCACCAACCAAAAAGGTTGGGGACCTTGTGGCCCAACAACATTTCTGTTGTGACTTCAAAACTTGCCTCTCGTCTCTGCTTCTCCTGTGTTTTCAAAGGATTAAACGTTAGATTTGCTGATTGCCTTTATGAGAACTTTTATGTTTTTGTCGATTTAGATTAAAAAAACTTGCCTCCAGTTTCTGCTGCTGCCCAGCAATAATTGTGGAGCATATCAACATCACTATTTAAATAGTCATTTTGCACTAAAATGTCGCCAACATAGTTGGGGGCCTAAGCCCAACAACAAGCACCTCCTGATACTTGTTGTGACACATAAGTACGAATCTCACAGCAAAGATATCCATGGCACAGTACCTTGTTATGGAACTGGCAGTTTTTCACCATGTTAATTGTAAGCAAGATTGATTGCTATTTCAAACTACATGTTTATGTATATTACTAAGAACATGCGTTATCATACAAACCTTATAACTGGACAAAAACAAAAACCCTCTTTCTACAAATTTTATTAAGATATAACTTATGTTAAAATATAGTAACCAGATTACATTCCCTTTATTAAGTTTTGCTTTGGAAAATAAGCTCAAAAATGACAATGTTTGAACAACTGCGCACAGATTTCATATAATTTCAGATAACTTTCTCATAATTACAATATATACAAGATTTCATTTTGGTGTTACAAAGGAAAGTAATACAACTTTAATCACTTATTTGATACAGTCACATTAAGTGACTCCAGATGCATGTCTTTTAGTGAAGTATTTTTTGACATAATATTCTTTCTCTACATTCAAAGTATACAAGATCAACCAACTTTTAACAAACCTTTTGCTGACGTTACTGCTGCACAGATGAGTGAAGATGAAAGGTTTCGGTTATCACATATAATCCAATATTACACAATGTCTTTTCTTAGTCCATTTCAATCACTTACCCCTGTCAGGCAGAGACAGTAGTGTCAGTCCAGCCAGCTACTTACCGCCGTAGCTCAGGTTGCAGCAGGCATGTGTGTACAAAAAACACAGCACAGTTACAAACTTTTAAAATCATAATGATAATAGCATATTGGAGACAAGAAATAACACTAAAGCAGTGGATGTAGAACATGCTAGTACAGGTAACTCAAAGTTCCCCAGTATCCCACTTAGCTCCATGCTGTCAATATCTCCCTTGTGCTCCCATCATTGGGGGACGCATCATGCCATACCCCATAGGCCCTGGGGGACCTGGAGGTCTAGACCCACCGTTGTTCATCTGGGACATAGGAGGCTGCATCTGACCACCTGGAACAAAAAGATTTGGGTAAAAATAACTGTCTACCCTCATTCTATTTATCTATCCCACAATATGATAAAGATTACCTTTCATGTCAATGGCTTTTTGATGTTGCTTGTTCTGTATGTAAATGGGATAACATAATTTGAACTTAATTGCTCTCTAGTCTTCTCATTTTTGGAGAAAAAAGATATGTGATCACTTTATCTGTTTTCTGTGGCATATAAGGGAATATGACAACAGTCCATATACACAGTATAACAGTTCACTGTTATATCTTGGGATACTTCAAACTGCATTTCACTTTGCTCTACCTTGTGGCATCCGTGGCATGTTCATCATGGGTGGTGCTGATATTGTAGTTTGAGGCGCCATTTGACGATTCTGATACCTTGGTAAGCTAGCTCGTTTTTCTTCCTAAAATACACAAGAAGTTCCAGTAATGAATCTTCACATTTACATTTATGTGTATTTTTAATGTAGCTTCTTTAGAAAAGATAACTGTACTGATATGCCCTTATCACATTTACATTTATGTGAATTTTTTAATGTAACTTTTTTAGCAAGGACTATACTGAAGTACACTTATCCACTGATGTAAAACAAAACCAGTAACTTCATTTTGCTGACACCATGATCTTGCAAAAGTTGGCCAACTTAAAAAAACTTCTATTTTATGTAGCCCGAGAGATTTTATTGGCCTAAAGGTGAATCAATTCAAACACTCAGCACTATCAGACAGGTATGTACTAATGGCAGTTCTGCAGCACATACAAAATAACACAACACCAATCTCAATAAGGAGGTGTCCTTCAATATCCTTTTTACACATGCACTTGCTGCAATGCTTGTTTCAATAAACATATATATATATATATATATTACACCTCACCAGAGATATATCCTCCTCAGGGTGGACCAACTTTGTTGTCATGCCTGAACTCGACTCTGGTTTCTTGACAGTGGGTGCTGCACTGATTGTGGCACTGGGTGCCGTGGGGGGTGCTGACAGGGTGGCAGAGCTGGAGTAAGCTGGAAACGTGGGCTTCACAGGTCCAGACTGCTGAGAGGAGGTCGGCATGTTTGACATCTTAGGCTTGAAATCGGGGCCAACAGGTGCTGACGGTCTAGGCTGTGACTGAAATTTTGTCATATGTAGCCATTTAATGCATGATCATAATCAGCTCTCTGACTGCTATCAAGAAATGGAATCTGACATTCTTTTATTCATTTAATGCAGTTGCGCAGATGAGTGAAGTTGAAAGTTTTGCATTATTACATATAACCCAATATTACAGGATGTCTTTGATTAGTCCATTTCAATCACTTACCCCTGTCAAGGAGAGACAGTAATAGTGTCAGTTCAGTCAGCTACTTAACACCTTAAGTATTTAGCATCATAGTCAAAATTAATTGCATGTAAACATATATAATGGGGAGTATTGTGCAGATACCCGAATTTTAAAATTTAGAAGATTTCAGGTAACTAAATATTATCAACCAACAAAATGAACCCATTTAAATCAGTGTTATCAATGTGAGAGAGACTATCTACACCACTTAGACAAGGACTTCTTTAGAACCGAAACCATTCCAATTTGTGTCATTGTGTCATCAGACATGCAGATTACAGAAATGCACACAATATGTCAAACACTAATTCATNAATGAACCCCTGAATAAAAAAGCGATGAAAATGGTACCACTTTTCGGACCAATGAACCTTCGGACCAATGAACCTTCGGACTATCGAGACGCCCCCAAATAAAGATATCATACGAAGAGTTATTATCCCTTTAAGGTGATACAAATAGTTTACATGAAATGCTTTATTTAAGCAAACATTGATCATGCATTGTCCCCTTTTTCATACTAACAATGTCAGCTTTACTTTTCTAGTAGAAGAACTAGGCATTTAAAAGGCAAGTTTGCATTCTCTCGGAGATGGACAGCATTAAATTTGTTGCTATATATCATATCCCATTATGCAGCAATACACTCCTAAATATATCGAAATATGGGATAGTAACTCGAATCTTTGATATACTAAATTGAACTAAATTAAAAGAAAAATTGAAACAAATATTCAATAAATTTCTAATTTGTACCTTTGTGCACACTGCAAAGTAGGGTGCATTCCATGGGGTGCCAATCAGCTTAATTGCTTCATTTTAATGAAAAAGAATATAACCTCAATTATTTTATTTCAACAGAATACTTTCACCAATAAATGTTGCATAAGGAAATAACATATATTATTTATGTTACACAGAGTCAAATTGTTTGTAGATAAAATAATTTGATTCCTAGCATTAATTTAAAAAAATTATAATCATCTTCATCAAAAATTCAGATGCTGATTTACGGCAAAAATTGATTTTGAATAGTCCCTATACTTCTCAATGCCAATGGTGCATTTTCTTTCTTTTTTTTCATACTTAGAGATATAAAGGGGGGTTTGCACACCTCAGGTATGAGATGAATTAACATTTTAACCTTATTCCCTAGAGATGGCATAAGAAGTCTATTTGCTATTGCTTATAAATATGGCACATTCTAGTAGGCTAAGCATAATATCCATCAAGTACAACTGTAACACCTTTACATTTACCTCATGTCATGTCTAAAATAGGGGGACTTTAAAAGAATAGGGTCAACCAGATGTTTTAGGCAGCTAAATGGAAAGCAATCACTGGCCACCCCGAGTTTCAAAGAACATTGGATTATAGAAACCATTAATGTCTCCTCGATTTTATCTACAAATGGCGGAGGAATGCTGAGAATAGAGGGAGGGGGGACGGGTTCCAGTGTTCTCTCATAATAAAAGTGTTAGTGGTGGACTAGGCATGGCATTTTGTATACTATATAATAATTTCAACATTTGATAGAATTCACAAAAATGAATTTACACTCTTTAGGAAAACACAAGGAATGATAAAAGAAAATGATATATTATTTTTTATTCAAAATATCAAATATAAACTACATATATGTATGGTTTTAAACTAGCCTCTACCAGGGCAACAGATAGATTTTTCACAAGATATTCACAGAAATATGTCTTTAGATAAATACATGGTCATTTGGTTCTCTGTCACCCTGTAATGAAATCTCAAGGATGATTACATGGTTGTTAAATGTTTGCATAACTGCTCAGGCACTGCCACAACAGGCCAAAGCCAAGTCCCCTTGACAGCAATCAAAACAGTTAATTGCCCCAATTTTAATCACTTGCTCTTTTGTGACAGATAAAAATAGCCCCTTCATATTGAAGTTAACTGAGGAAGCTCCTGTAGTAGCTCCCAACAGAACGGACACAATGCCATCTGTTCATGCAGATTTAATTGCTTCCATCTGGCCAAAAGTTACAGGGTGGCTTTTGGAAAATTTGCCTATAATATCTGCCACTCTGGTAGAGGTAAGTTTTAAAGTATGAGGTGCAAAAGGAAGAGAAATTAAATACTATGTAGTACAGTAAAGAAAAGTTTTAATTGGATGTATTTTATAAACACTTGTATATTCTAAGGCACAGTCAGAAATTATGTTCCAAAACCAAGCTGGACTGTTAGTCGAGGGTCCCCTTGGGGGGGAGTAGAGATTACAATTCCCAGGAAATAAAATCTTCAATTCATAAATCACAGAAAAAAATACTTAATTTCACTGATAAGTGTTTCAAAAATCCTGAAAATCACGGATCAACGGGTATAATGACTGTTTCATAAAGGTAAAAAGCTGCATTCAAGAGTCATGGGGAATGGGGTGTTTCACAAATCATGCTAAATAAAGTGGCTTTCATGGATAATGAAAATACCCAATGGGACCGTCTTAGATATGCAAAGATCGACTTTGTCCTTGAAGGACCCATACATTTTAATGAATAAACCAGCAAGTTCAAGTAGCCCTAAACTATCGATCTAATACCTTAGATGCCAATATTTTTATGTACTCAGTAAATATTAATGTTTCAATTACTTAAAGCACTCTTTTATAGAACATGCATTATAAAACTTTTACTTCCAAATTACATATGATTATTTTCATTAATTATAAGGTAAATTTGTTAAAGGAAACTGCATCTCCCACATCTTGATAAATTTAATAGCATTACCTGCTTTACATTAATATGCATAATTATGAATGTTTATTTGACTATGGTACATTATTTCATGAAAATGCAACTACTATGGCAATTGTTAATGGTACATTAAAATACCCCTTCACTAAATAATGTTGTGTTATCAATAACCTAAAAAGGCTATCAAAAGTTCTGACAAGTCAGAAGGAATGTTTCTGAAACTTTACATATAAATTCTAAGAAATATAGATATAATATTACTATATCTATATCTATATAGATATAATATTACTATATCACAACTTAATAATGTTGTACATAAAATAATGCTTTGGCATAAAAATGAATCTATAATCTGTCTTGTTATGTAATAAAGTACACAATCCAAAAGTATATAAGATAACACACAAAAGGTTACCATTACATGTATACTGCATATATCTGCTAGTTTACAAGGAATTTGAAAAATGAATCTAACAACCAGTCAGTCAAAAATGCATAGATTTTTACTGAAATCTTCAGAAATTGGGCCACATGAATAAACCACAAGTGTTGATCTTTGCAAACATAGATGTCTAGTTGAAAATACACTGCAAACAAGAGGGCAGTCTTTCTGCTCTTGTGCATTTAGTTTATGAACAGGTGTGACCGTGTGAGGCCCAAGTAGATGAAATTTCCCTTCTGAATCAATGTAGTAATCAAGTTCATCTAAGTATCTAAAACTCCAGGCCATGGTACAGAGTTTTTGAAGATCGAGCAATAAGGATGGAAGAGGTATGTTGGAATGGGGATCATCAGAGACAGCTATAAGTGAGACTTTCAGTGCTGTGTATTTGCATACAAGACTATATCGGTATCTGAGACTATATCCAAGCAATCCCTCTTGATTTTATGCCAAGTCAAGAGAGTTTGGGCTACCGCATATGATTCCCATTTGAAAAGCAAAAATTAAATTGTAAGTCAATTACACCTTAAGACAATTTTTCATACATTTCTTCAATTTGTTTAGCAAAATGTTTGCGGAGTAGTGGCCTCTTGGCTTTGAATGTGGGTGTTAGCAGATCATTCTCCACTGAAAACAACTCAGGATAAAGGAAGATATCCTTCACCTGAAAAAAAATTCAAATCATAAATCAACAAAGTCTTCAGCAAAATGAACAAATACACGAACTTCTGTCATTCTGAGAAAATAATTGCACTAGTTATTTTACTTAACCCCCTCAACCAATGTTTAACAATATAATCCTGCATTTTGATGTCTGTACATCAAAGTGATGGTCATTTGTCATAATTGTAAGGAATCAAATTAGTTTTGATAAACTTCAAGTAATAAAAGTTCTATTTCATGAACAGTTACCGTTAACTTAAAGGAAATATTNATGCTAAATCATCTACTTACTGATTTAACGTTTTCTTGGTTAAAATATTTGCGCACACGTTGATTTATTTAATACTTCTGAAGACCTGTTGGAAAAAATTGCCATTTTTGAAGTAAATTAAACCTATGTCGGAGAAGATGGTAAGACGTCGCTCTTCTGCATTCGAAGTCCAAATGGAGACTTTAGAGGAAAACAAAACAAAAGGTAAATTTACGAAATTGCAACCAAAAGGCAGTTTAGATATTCTTTAAAAATCATCTGGAAATACGGAAGAAATTCGAAGAAAAGATATGCTGGATCACAATCGGAGGCGCCTTCTTGGCACGTGTACCATTCAAAAAACTTAATAATTATCACCTAATTATATACTCGCGCAAACGAGGGAGAATCTTATGTTGATGATGTGTCATTTTAGCACTCAAAGTCATTCTATTCGACAGTGCGTGAGGGTTACTGTACCGGTCATAACATTCCTTGACCATTTGAACAGTTGTTTGAGTAATTTCCATCCCAGCCGTACCTTCACTCCAGAATTATTGGATAAATTTGAAGGAAAAGTTACATGTGTGGAAGGACTATCACGTTTGATATACTGTCAACTCACTTCACAAATGAAGATAAGATTTACTCTCAGGTGACCCTGGTTAAGCATTCATTTTTTAAAAATCAGCATAACCCTGTGCGCAACAAACAGATTTTCAGTAAAATGACAGTTTTATTTCACCTTAAATAGGGTCATGGAGACACAAAATGTCTCCATCTTTTCACGTCCCTTCGTTTGACAGGTAGCCGTAATATAATATCTGTGTTCAAGAACTAAAACCAATGCAGTGTGTCGTACATGTATATACCTTTATAGACCCATCAATTTTATTCCAATTAAACACGCACATATGTGACTTATTATTATCTTGTTATATACAGTGTAATTGGCAAAACTGAACACGAAGCTGATACGATTTGTAGTGAAGCTATTTTACGTAATTTCATTGCACATTTATGTTACCCCATGATAATGTTCATCATTACACCCTTACATGTATATCAACACCAAATATTGCCTTTATTTTTATTTATATTTATATTGAAGAATCCACAGAATCAAAAGCTAGCAAAGAAAGCGGATCCGTCAGCGAAGGCCTGGAACAATTTGGAGAAGACACCGACTTCCACGGACTGAAGCGTGTCTTCAGGAGAGACTATACACTGTTACGCAGAACCTTTTGGTTGTTTTTCTTTCTGGCGGGTCTTACGGGTTTTATCGCCAACACAGTTGACAGGCTGAGCTATTACTTGCAGTATCCACACTCGTCTGAGCTAGACGTGATGTATGATATGGAGTTAGGTAAGACGACCACCATTTTATAGACTCTTATTAAATACTACATGTATGAAGCCTAAACCATTCAATTGATAGACATACATGTACTCCTTAATTGAATAGCCAAACATTACAAAATTTTCCATCATATTAAAGTGATTTCTGGATGAAGAGCACCTACTCAAAATGATTAAATTTACAATTAAAATACGCTGAAAACAAACCCACATTATGTACAATGTAGCTGTAAATGACTCTGCCACATGTTACTAGAAAATGCTTTTAACACTGACAAAGCGGTCGTGTTGGTGACATCCATCCACGTAAATTGGTGGACTTGAACACTGTATACTCAGATCATTAATGACTGAAATAAAAATTGGAATATACTATTACTTCTCTCGGGGGATAATGACTAAACGGTTTATCTCTATGGAAATAACAACTATAGTCTTCCTAAGTGGCAGGTTTCACTACGAAAATATTGATTTAACAACCATGTCAGACACAACTGGTATGGGTGCACAATCGATGCAATTATAAGGCTTGTTTCCCTCCGTTTAAACTGACAACCGTTTAACGGCTGATGTTCGGAAACAGATGTTAAATCTGTCGCTCTGTGTTATCACGCTGCAAGGAAAATAGCCTCAAAACGAGACTGTGGACGTTACGAACGTGACGTCATACGAGACTATAAAACTTGCGAGAATCTGCGTGGGACTGTGTACATTTTTCAGCGACAGTTCAGTTTGAAACTCTCTATGTGCAGTTTATGTCGTCTAAGAAAACTGAAAGCAATGCAACTAGTGCAAAGTCTGGTGACGTAGCGTAAAATTATTTGAGATTTCTCAGTATTTTGAGGAGAACGGGGTCCAAAATATTGTCAGACTATCAACTGGGGTGCAACAAGGAATAAAAGTCGACATAATTTATAGACAGATACTGTGTGGTCGTTTCCCTTAAGTCCTGTCGAATTATAATCTGTTGTACGTACACGAATTGTTTTGTGTGTCACTATCATGGATGCTCCCCATTACGGCAAACGCTTCTTTTTTTTTTTTTTTTTTTTNACCACGAATCGTGAAATTTGTCAATTCATCGCCATTCGTGGGATTCGTGGTCTGTGTGAAATAGGGGCATAAGGAGTACATTGCACTAGTATGGGGGTATTTCTCAGTGGAAGGGAAGAGGGTGCAATATAGAGTGTTATCCCTGCTGTTTGCGATCATAGCGCCGACTGCCGCAAATTCATATTATATCTTTTAATGTGAATTAAAATTCACATAAGTAAGATACTAATAGCAGCCATTATTTTTGGTGTATTGTTTTTCAAAAGAAACAACACGATGTTGATAATGTGTTGGCTTAACATCCTTAAGCATGGGAACACCTACACATATCCAGAGACTGACCTTGATGATATGCAAGTGTCTACCATAGTGCTTTCGAAGCTCTGAGATAAAAAATATGGAGATGTTATTTGCCAAACCATAGTCAGCTGAAAATTGTAAAAAACGTAATATATGCTTATTTGCTTCAATCCCCTGGCAATTTTTTCCAAAAAAATCAAAATGACCTTGCTTTTGTTTTGTTTCACCTGACCGTCACATGGTTCGTGCAAAACGTCAAAATTAACGGAATGGAACGATCGTGCAAAAAAGTACTGGTTTTTATACCATCGAATAATCAACAAATTCTTTATTTGTTGCAGAGTTTCCAGCCGTTACCATATGCAACATGAACTCCTATAGACTATCCGCTTTGACAGACGTTGATATATTACATTTTGGTGAAAAACTGCACATTTTAGATGAAAACCGCCGCCTTATACACCCAGAATATTACAACCAGAGCTGGGTGGATTGGGTACACGGTATTAATTGGACAGAGTTAGCTGCCAACGATGACGAAGGTAGATATTCTTTTTACTTTTGCAAAATACAAGCACAGATTCATACGGAGGCATATTGCTGCGATTTTGTTATATTTCATATTTTGAAATTTGGAGTTCTTGTTTGGTCATAAGAGAGTGGGCTGACCAGTATTTCATATTTCACATATTTCACACGAAAACTGTTATTTCTTAATGTGCCAAAGGAACTTAAAATATTATTTGCTAAATAAATGATGCGTTTTCATTGACTGTCAGTATACTTAATTATAAATCTAGAATATGGTTTTATTTTCTTATAAAATGAACTACGCCATGGGTGCCAAGTTTTAAAATCTGTTCAAAAAAGAAATACTATCAAATTACGTTGATCATTCTGGTTACTTAGTACCCTACATTTTTCATTGCAGTTTTGTTTAAAAGTTATCTGGTCGTAGCATAATGGACTTTCGGTTTCGATTTAACTTTCAGAAAATTTTGACGTGCTTGAATTTATACGTCGAACCGGCCACCAGCTAGAAGACATGATACTGCTGTGTTCGTGGAAAGGGCAGCACTGTGGTCCGGAAAACTTTACCTCGGTTTTCACTCATTTTGGCATCTGTTATACTTTCAATGCTGACCATTCTTATAAGTACGTATCACGAAAGGCTGGTGCGGGAAACGGGTTGAAGTTATATATCAACATCGAAGAAGAAGAGTATTTGACTTCGGATGTCCTAGCAGGGCAAGATGCTGGTAGGTTTTATAATCCGGATACATCGATGGATAAAAATGTTAATTCGATGAATATTGTCCTATGAAAAACACGAAAATTCACTAAACGCTACTGCTCACTCTTTAGTTTAATTGACTAAGTAACTTTGAATTTTGTAAATTCCGTGTTGCATTCATAAAAGCTAGTGAGTCAAAATTACTATGTGACAGGGTTAATACTTCGTGCAAAAAGTAGAAAAATTACCGTCCGCTTTAAGTACGTGAGATGTGCCATGTAGAATCTTAACCTTCAAAGGAAGTAAACGCCTTTACACAGTTTTTTTATCCGAGTGCAGTTATGCAGTTGAATTTGTTTTTTAACCTAATTTTTAATGTATTTATTGTATTACTTTTTCTTTCTGCATTAATCTTACTTTGCTGCAAAGGAAAATGATTTCTGATCTTTTGGCTGAATAAATTCTTAACCCATGTGTATTTTTTCTTGTAAAGGACTGAAGATGGTTATTCACGCTCAGGAAGAGCCTCCATTTGTGAAGGAGTTGGGATTTGGAGTGCTACCGGGGGACCACCATTTTATCGCTATACAGAAGAAATACGTAGGATTTAAGAACTTTCATCACAATTACATAACGTCTATTTACATTTTTCATATGTTAACGGCCCTTATTAGCTGATATCGTGATAACAAACAGAAGGTTGGACAGCTTGTTGAAAAATTCTTTTTATTCCGTTATTGTCAAATGAACCTAATGGCAATTTGTTTGAGAATATCTTGTGCGTCCCAATATTGTTATGCTCATCCATGTTTCAAGATCTCCGACTCTTATAAAAAGCAGGCACTGCCACCTAGTAAATAACAATTAAATGACATGGTTCTGTATTGCAGGTTCACAACTTGGTTCCTCCATGGGGAAACTGCTACGAAGGGAAACTCAAGTATTACTCTCATTATAGCGTCCCTGCCTGCAGGATAGAGTGTGAAACAGATACCATCGTAAAAGAGTGTGGCTGCAAGCTGGCCGAAATGCCAGGTGATTCCCCCCACCCACTCTCTCTCTCTCTCTCTCTCTCTCTCTCCTTCCTTGCTTTTATCGTTCTCTCTCTCCCTAACTCCCTCCCTCCCTCTCTTTCTTTTTCTGTCTCTCTCTCCTTACTTCCCTCTCTCTCTCTCTTCTCCCCTCCCTCTCTCTCATTCTCCTCTCTCTCTCTCTCTCTCTCTATTTTTTAGATGGTTTGTAATGAACCTGTGTATATACACTTGTACACTCATTTAAATGGTTTTCATAATGGCTGTGTAAATAGCTTTTTTGTACTCGGCAATTGCATGTTTTATATTTATACTAGAGAAAGAGCAATTTGTAAGCCGTACATGAGACCGTATTATACATTTCATTACATCATTATACATCATTACAGGCAACACATCCGTATGTCTAGGACATATGTACATGGGATGTGCCTATCCAGCCTTAGGTAGGTAAAGTAAAAAATAAACGTCTACATGCATATTATATCTAGCACTGGCAATGTTGGATTTTTTATAGCTTCTCACCACCTCAGTTTACTTGCGACATGCTTTCCTCATTCTGGAAGAAAGTGCGCAAAGCGTTGCGGATAAATCTTAAACTGGCACCACAGTTTTTCAAATGCGATCAGACGAATGTTGATCTTATTGTATATTTACCTACATATAGTGAGGCTGAAATACCATTTTGCTATTTTCTCATTATCATAAGCATTATTATTATTACTATCATCATCATTATTATTATTATTATTATTATTATTATTATTATTACCCTGTTGTTTCAGAGGAAGTGGAGCACTCAGACTTGTGCTCCTGTCAGAATCCATGTGATATGACCACCTATAGGCGAGACATCTCTTCCGTAAGGCTTCGAGATACTACCTTAGATATCATAGCCGAAAATAACCCGCAAGTTAAACGGGAAACACTAAGGTTATCTAATTTCTTTGATCGCAAGAGCGTGTGCGCATTTGTGTGTGTGAGAGAGAGAGAGAGAGCGTGCGAGAATGCTTTAAGTCGAAAGTGAAACTGAGCTCCAAAGGTAGAACCGTTATTATGAATTAATATCCTGATTTTCGTTAAATTCTTGTTATATTAGAGATACAGTATTTCAGATTGAGTTCAAAACAATGTTTTTATAATTATCCAACCGATAAATAAGACAAATATCACCAATGGCTGATGTTATATAAAAGCACATCTTTGAATTTTGATGGTGTTTACGTTTATTATAAATGTATTATTCCGCACTTGTTGCATTGAAAAGACTTGATTCTGTTTTAAGAAAGAAATAATGGTTAGTAACATTTTGATAACATTTTAGCATCAATTGTTAATTGACATTTACTGTAACTACAATTAGTTTCTATTTTCAGCAGAGATAACCTGCTGGTGCTGAACATCTATTACGAAGAGCTGTGCTATGAGACCATCAGACAAATCAAAGCATATTCCATACCAGCACTGCTAAGTTAGTAAAACTATCACTTATTTCAATTGCCAGTCATGTAAGAGATCGTCGATGTTGATATGCTTCCAGTTGTAATCATCAGGATTAGAATTTTAGTCTAAAACCGTTCAACACATTAACAGCTCAAGAGTTTGTTTTTAACTTAAAGACCAAAAATATCAGTGAAACCAGAATGATCCCATTGCAGTATACAAATGAATATACTGATATCTCAATGGTCAAGCAGGCCTTGATTTTTTATTCTTTGAATTAAGACAGACTTTTGACTTAAATTATGTAGAATGTTTAATTGTAAGTCTTTAAATTATTACCGACCTTTGACTTAAATTATCTTGAGTGACATGTCCCTGATCGAACACAGTACATGTACAACACTTCACGGATACATTAGGTATCATACAGGCATTAGCAATTACTAAAGCGCCAACCACGCCATTCAACTAAGTATTAAAACGCTTCGACCTTCACCTTCACTTACTTTTTTATTTTCCAGGCGACATAGGAGGCCAGATGGGTTTGTTTATTGGGGCTAGTGTTCTGACTCTGCTGCATGTGATCGAGGCCGTTGGGGCGGTTGTTGGTGGAAAGTTCCTCAAGACAACAAAGCAAGGGCGTGTCAGTACAACTCGGGTCCAAAGTTTGAAGTGAATCATGACAACAGGGTTCCGAATACCATATACCTCAGTTTGTTACATGTAAGTGTACGGGACATTGGAATGGTCAGTTGAGAAGACAGCGCATGCGCACTTTGATGTGCTTCCACGTCGTTGCCTTGGCAGTGCAGTTGTGCACGAAAGGCGCTAAAAGTTTATTCAAGGAGAGGACGCACAATCAGTGAACACGGAAACTAAAACACATCATTCTCTGTCTGCAGTTTCTGTGACTGCACTTTGTGACTCTGTGATACAGCTACTCTTAGAAAGATGTCTGAATTGGAGACATTGTTCAATTCTTACGTACCAGAATATGTTACAGGCAATGTAGAATTGATGGAGTTCATTAGACACGGTGGCAAATCGGCCATCTCATACAATGGTGGGCAATACCAACTTTTATACATTTGTAATAATTAATAACTAACAAGTAAGATTCACTGCTGCACTGTACACAAGTTTTTTAAAACACACTACTTAAGACCTATTTTCTAAAGAAATATATGCATAGAGAAAATGGCCTTCTTCGATCATATTAGTTGTTCCACTTACTGCAAAATTGAAACATTCAAAATCCCAAAATATAAGATCAACGCCTTAGCGAGGCTTTAATTATGATCGGGGCTCAGGAGCTTGAATTTCAGAGGCGAGGATACAAAAAGCCACTCCTAGTACCCCCTTTAAAATAACTTTTTGTGATGGAAGGAGGAAGTGCATTTCTCCTCACGATATCACAATACGCACGTTAAAGACACGCCATCGTGTGGGATACTTGGCATACCCCCAAAAAGAGGCAGTAGAGCATTTCAGAACACGGAAGACACTTGATAAAAACTTCAAACATAAAGCCAGTTGCCAGATATATAAATACGTATTAGACAAAGAAGCACAGCACTCGACGGCGTACCCCAAAGCTATCCATTGAGTATTCAAATAAAACCTTCACAGCCTTAACCTGTATATGTTTACTCAAACATACTAGACAGAAATGCCACAGTATTAAATGTCAGAAACGCATAACTGTATGCATACATGTATGTTTTTAATTATATATAAAAACTGAGTTCATACACATTTTGTAAAAGTGTGCGAAGACCAATAAAATAATTTTTCAAATATTACAATTTGAGTTCGAGTTTAGATAATTTATTATTGTGACAGCACCAATTCAGCATATGCGTACATAATATATGAATAGCGGTCCAGCACTATGGGTTTTCAAAGTCACGAATTATACTTTTAGTTATACAACAGTTTCTTTCTGACCTGGAAGCGGCAAAAGTTAAGCCTTGCTGCTCTTTATTTACATCTACTCAAGCCTGTGGAGAGCACAGATGAGGTCTGTCTTCAACCGCCGCTTGGTTAGAAAAAACTAAATTGTTCATTTTCACCTTTTCAGTCCATTTTGCCTGAGATTCTCATCAGCTGAGCATATTAATGGAATATTTTACTCTACTCATGGGTCATAGCTAAGCTCCCTGGACGTTGCTGTGACGTTATGTCTTAATCCGCGCAGCACAGCAATTCTGCATCCAGTAACGACTTCGTTAAATTTTCCTAGAAACAAGGTTTTAATACACTTGTGGTTGAAATACTAGTAGGTATATAGCCGTAGTTTTGGCCATTTGCAGGTGTCGGTTCCATTTGAGTGCGTGACCGCCTTGTGGTTAACTAACCGGACCATATTAGTGACTGCTATCGATCACTCAAAGGTTTGTTTCTCATTTTATTTTCGTTAGACTAAAGATAAAATTATCCCTGATGCAAATGCGCACTTCCTCTGATTCCGGAGACTGCTAATTCTGGAACTAGCGAAACATTTAACACATCGGTAAACGTAATTGACACTATAACTAACCCACATTTGATGATACCGTGATTCGTATTTTAAAATAGTTTTACAGGTGGTTTATCTGAAATACAGGTGGACTATTGTGGCTCCATTCTTTATACAAAAATAGTGCGTCGATCAGGCATCCATTTATACATCATGAACGCAGGCTGGTCGTTTCTTTTTTTTTTTTTTTCTTTCAGTTTCTCGTCAATATGCCTATACATGTTAAAGGATTTCATTTTTGCCTTGGTAGAAAGTCTGATACGCAGGAAAACGTCGTTTCCGGTTATATGCTGTCCTGTTTACTAGAATGACATTCATTAAAATATCGATCTTTATCCGAATACTATTTAGACTATTCATCCTCGCAAAGTTTATACTGCCCGTGTCTGAGTCGATATAAAACGTCCAAAGTATTTGACCATGGTGACGAAATACCTTCAACGAGATATGGGCTCAAACTATAGTTCATATTCTTTACCTGCTTTAGTGGTTATAGTTTTGGTGTGCTTCCATGTCCACGGGAAACCAGCCACATTTGTAATTCAACCAGGTAAGCATAGTTTCTTCAAAACTGCATCGTATAAGTCACGGAATGACTAAAACAAACTTATAATAGTTACTCAATATTAACTAGTACTTTCTCCTCAAAATAATGGAACAGTGGACCGATTCTAATCTGTGTCGACGTACATGTAGATCAGATTTGGTCATTTATTGGTATGACGTAATTTTATTTTGACTTGTTTCGAACGTCAAAAGAAAATAAATGTTTAAAAAATGTGAAACTTTTGATTTTCCTAGTTTGGCGATATATTGCGGTCTCGATGATTTAAGATTACAACCACAATTTTGATGCATTTTAATGCAATTATAATTTCACCACTTCCAACATATTATGTTGACGTTGGGCACTAGGAAAAGACCATTATGATCGTCTCATGGTGTATGTTTCTCACCGCAGTTAATAACTCCTTCCCGCCCTTTGTCTTCAACGAATCTTACCGTGTTCATTTTCAGAATGCCACACGGCTGATGCCCCCTGTATTCCGAACTCCACTTGCGCTGATGTGAGAGGCTCCTGTTCCGAAAAGCCTTGTCCCAATGGCCACTTTAGCTGTGAGACTGGGAACGCGTGCGTGCCCATGGAACACCGCTGTGACGGCACTAATACCTGTCAGGATGGTTCCGACGAGAAGGATTGCCTCCCGGAGCAATGCCAGACCTGGGCGGAGGTACGCTATTGCCCTTCTGACCGCCGCTGTGTGAAGACGACAAATGCTTGCTCGGACGGTACATGTCACCTGGGTTCCTTCGCGTGTGAGGTATCGTCCACGTGCATAGCTGTTGACAAGCGTTGTAACGGGTCACCGGACTGCCCAGCTACGGACATTTCGGACGAAAAGAACTGCACCGCGGATGAGTGCAGAAGTTTTACACGCTTTTGCGCCGAGAGCAAGACGTGTGTCAGTGCGTTTACTCCCTGTGTAGAAACATAATGTGTGTCAGTACCTTCAATCCCTGCCATATTTATTTATTTATTTATTTATTTATTTTGCTCTCAAACAGGGCCGTACTATGGAACGCAAAAAGGGCGCCGTCAAGTGTAAATGGGGGGTTACTGCCTGAATAAAAACATAATGCTCTTGTCAGGGCACCTTCAGGAAAGACGAATTTATTGATCGTAACTGAACACTATGTAGTTATTTGATTAACATTCCTGTGATTCCACTCAACAATTTAGACACAGAATGTCGGCCTGTATAAAACTGTGAAAGAAAAATAGAAAGAAAGAAATACGACAAAGCGTTATCTGTTAATAACACGGCTATATTGTAGAACGTAAAACTGAGAAAAAAAATCAATAAATCAGCATTTTATCAAAATGTGCGCCGTTCTTGTATTGGAGTATGCGTGAACTTGACACTGGCAGATCACAAACCTTTTACAAAGGATTTCTACAGGTATGGGGGGAATAATGAAATCCTCTGAGAACTATTTTTTCTGCCTATGTGTCATACAATTCCGATCCATTATCAAAGACCTTTGATCACATGGTGGCTCTATTTAACCGTCATTGATAATTCTTTTGTTTGTACCTATATATCTTAAAACGCCTTTAATAAACTTGGCAGCATATAGACTTATTGTATTTGCCAAATTAATACGAAGCTCCATTGCTTTCCAGTTATTCGCAATCACTTCAGTTTCACGTTTACTTTGTCCAGAGCTGCAGTTATTAATGGTCGGCATGA